AAAAAAAGAACCCATATCCTGGCGTGTAACTAAAAACCTCCCGGTGGGATTTGTTTAGTGTGAGAGAGTGATTAGTAATTTTTAGTGATTAGTAATTTTCTCCCTCAGGTGGCTTTTCTGCATTCCTGTAGAGATCGTGTACACAACAGGGCTGCCAAGTGAGAAGAAAAGGCTTAGGCAGAAAATACCACGCTTTCGAGAACAGTGTGTGTGTGTGTGTGTGTGTGTGTGTGTGTGTGTGTGTGTGTGTGTGTGTGATTGGGCTTTCAACAACTGTTTGAGTGGCAAATAAAGTGCGTTGATTTGGAGTCGTTTCTTTTATGTCCTATACAATCTTTGGTCTTGCAGAAAGTCCCATTGTGTAGTAATTTCATTCGAGGGGGTTGTAGCTGTGGTCCCATTCGCTCACTCCCCTGTCTCCCTCATCCCCTTTTTATTCCTCCTCTGGTATTGGAAAAGCAAGCCAGTTCTAAACATCTTAGCTGAAGGAGGCGTTGAAGTCTGATTTCCAGTTTTTAGGGCCTACTGTGGAAATCATAGGATTGAGGCAGGAAGAGTTTCGCTTTCTCAATCAAAAAAGAAAAAAGACAGTTGATGTATGCAATGAGAGCTCCACAGAGGAGGGACACTTTTTTAGTGTCCCGCCAAGTCACACCATTCCACTTCCCAATAAGGTGAGAATCCACATGAACTGAAACACACCCTGACAGCTGGGTTGGGAGCCAGAGTGTGCGGCTGTTTTTGTCTTGCCGCTCCCTGGGGATTGAAGCTATTTAGCACAAAGGTTAAGCAACGTGTGTGGCCTCAGGATTCTCCCACACGAAGCTTTCATAATTTTATTTTTGCATATCTATGGGCACATATTCTGGCCTTTGTGACCTCACTAGTAACTGTTAGCTCCACAAAATGTTGCTCTCTGAATCCAAGAAACTCTGTGTCTGGGTTTCTAAAAGGCTAAAATTGGGACTTAGAACAGTTAATGAAATAAGCTTTAATGCTGAGAGGTATTGTAGCAACACTGACTAAATTAAATAATTTGCTGACTGTCATTAACAAAATCAAATATTTTGCTGACCAATGTTATCCTGTTATCCAGTTGGGTATGCTTAAGCCAAGCCTTCTTCCTCTATCATCATCATCTCTCATATCTATTGCACTATGCAGTTATAAGGACTTTTGCATGTATTACCATATTTAGTTACTAAGGCAGTTCTGTGATGTCCAAAAGGTTGGGGATTGTCTCACCATTTTAGATGCACTCTCTGAAACCAAACATCCAATGTCAGAGCAAAGAAGAGAATCTAGACTTTCTTGTTTTTTTTTTTTAATTTTTTTTTTAGTTATAGATGTATAACATACCTTTATTTTCATTTTTTATGCAGTGCTAAGGATCGAACCTAGTGCCTCACGTGTGCTAGCTAAGCTCTGTGCCACTGAGCCCCAGCCCCGAGAATCTAGACTTTCTAATTTCCAGCTGTCCTCTTTCGGAAGAGGAGGTCCTCAGGGAAGTCTCTAGGAGAGGCACAGCAAACACTTTAACGCTGGGCTGAGGTCCTAGCCTGCCCTGAACTCTGATCTTGAGCACAGAGTGAGATTACCCATGGAATACAGAGATGGCTTTGAATGGGTGGATTAGTCATCCGGCAGGTTCAGTGTAATGAGCTAAGAAAATGTTATTCCCTCTTGTAAATTGGCCATGTGACAGTGCAGGGAGATGTTGTGACAGGCTTGAGGTGTCACCTTGTGAGGTCTGCCTCAGAGACTGCCTTAGGTTACCCGATACATGCAATGGGTGGACCTGTTCCTCCAGCTCCAGAGCTGTCTCCATGGAGACAAACAAAACTCTTTCTCTTCAGTTCCAGAAACTTCAGTGTGAATGGCAATTTCAAATCGACTGTCCTAATCTTCTCAGGGCAGCAGGAAGCATTTAAATGTTCAACGTGTTAAATGAACCCAAAAATACAGGTTGGTGAAACTGATTCATGCCTGGAGAAGGGAAAAGGCGGGTGTCTTTCCATTGCCTTGGCTAGAGACCCTGCTGGGGCTGAAATGTACCCTAGATTTCACGGCACATTCTTCCCCATCCTGGCCAGGCCTCCTCATCCTGGTATTGTACCATGCTGTAAAGTGTTGTGCAATGTGGAGGGAAGAAAGAAATCTGGGGGTAGAGTGAGAGTGCAGAACAAAGACTTGGAATCAGGGAGAATTTCAAAGTTCCCAAAACAAGGCAGAAGGTTTTTTACTAGATTAGGCACAACTCCAAGGTTGGGGATACACATTCATTTTTTTCACTTCTCAAGCTTATTGTAGTAATCGGCACGTAGTAGATGCTCAGCAAATATTTGCAATGAGTGAACATACAGAATAATAAACAGTGTGGAACTTTCCTAACCTCACCAGCTTTGTATGGGCCAAGCTCTCAAGTGTAAACTGTTGGCTCTGCCCGATGGTTGCCCCTAGGATTGCCACTTCTGATCTTGCTCTTATTTTTGAACCCCTTGGATTTTGTCTGTCTTTGGAGGCCAACTTGGACCCCAAGTCCTGCCTTCAATTTCTGCTTCCTGTGCTGAGGCTCTGATGGAATTCATGTCAGGTAGTCTGTTTTAGAACTTCCAAGCCTTCCATTTAGTAATAATAAAACTCCCAGTTATTCTGGAAAACAAAACAAAAACAGGTCCTTTCAGAAAACCAAAACTTCATTTTTGTAACAATGTAAGATTCCTCATGTAAGGTGGTAATTTTACCAAAATTTTAGGTCTCATTAATCCTGGTTGAAGAAGGAAACAGTTTAGATTTTTGAGGCAATTTAAGAATATCTACCAAAATAAAGAAAAGTATAAGCACTTTGATCTTGCAGTTTTTGTTTCTAGAAGTCTAACTTGTGGAGATACATTTGTGCATGGCCATAATTTTAAAGACTCTGGGGCTGTAGTTCAGTGATAGGGTCCTTGACCAGCATTCATGGGGACCTGGGTTCAATCCTCAGTACAGAAGAAAAAAATTCTTAAGACCATATTGTTATTATTAAAATCAGAAGTCATTTTAAGTCCATAATAGACAAATAGATAAAAAATTATGATGCATCCATAAAAGTAACTATTCTTCATCAAGTAAAAAGAATCAGGTAAATCCAGTGTATTCTTTAATATCCCCTTGCATATTAAATATTCTTATATTTAATATGAAAGGGGACTGAATATGCATGATATGATCACATTAGTTTTAAAAACTTTTCATATAAGTGAATGTGTATGTATGTGTGTCTGTCTCTGCATTTTAAATTGAAATTACTGAGAAAGTCTTGGTGAATCTA